GCTTGTTCATCTCACCTGCGAACAGCCGAGACTTATTCACACTTACCTTCGCAACGAAGGCGTTCTTCGATCCGCAACCTGGAAACGCGTCCAGTGGCGTGCAGCTCTGCCGAACCAACCAGTGGTCGGTTCACTTCCGGGTCAGCCCGGGAACTAAGGGCAATGGAACAATGGTATAATACGGATAAAAAAAGCTAAGGCTTGGCAAGTCCCGTAGGATGGTTTGTGGGAATAACGTTTGTTCAAACAAAAGTTGCACCAAAGTGAAAAAATGCATCTATGGTCTCACCATATTTTCCACATGAACACAAATATATATCCGTCTACTCCTAGTTGGTGGGGTTGGTGAGCACAATGTTTGCCTGCGTCATGTCGTCACTCAATGAATAGAAATCAGCTCAATTTAGGTAGGTGGTGTAAAGCATCGTCGAATCGTTTTTCAACAATGGGTCGCGTGGGCGCGGAAATGACAAAAGTCGGAAGTGCGTTCCAAGGTTGACAAACTCGAAGGAAAAAATAATTACGGCAGCATTCCAGCCGACTGTATTTGGTGGCAAGTTTCAACTTATGACTCCTCAATTCGGTGTTGCGGCTCAGCTTCAGGAGGTGGTGGCAGGCTTGACCGGGGTTTTTCAATATCTCGGTCCAACTGCCACAGCCAATAACTGGATTGGTAGTGCATGACCGATCTTGACGGAATCCGTGTTGCTCCGGTGCCATGATGTTTGATCTTTCAAAGTAGCCCATTCAACCTCAGATATCATCGATTCCATCACCTTTGAAAGCACCGAGAAGAGAATCACTTGGCGATAGTTTTCGGGCTCTGAACGGCTACCACTCTTGAAAATTTGGGGTAATGATACCTTACTTCCAAATGTTAGTGACCTACCGTTCATCCAGGCGTCTTTGGAAAATTCCCAATGGTTCAGCTATCCTCGTAGCTGCCCCCTGAAGTGTGTTCAGGTAATGTTGTCAACTCCGAGAGAACTATAGGTGCGCAACAAGAGCAACTTCCTCAAAATGGTCGCCGAACTAAAGGTGACGTGTGTACATACTGGCGTCTGGGAGATTGTGACGGTTGTTACACATGCTTGTAGCACATCGGAAAATTGGAGCCGTGGAACGTTAGCTGCATCCACGCCGGTTTGAGCACGTCTATCTGCTGGCATTAGTAGGGAAACACTACTTTACACATTCCAGAGGCTGTGCACATGTCTGTACGGAAGCTTTTTGTTTGCACAATACTTATCCGCTAGACTCTGCTGGTGTCCTACTTTGTCCTCACGCACAAACGTGGTACAATGATTACGATGCACAACATAGTTACTCCGATTGTCAGGGCTAGGGTTCGCTCTATATACATGCTACGCTACGTCTGGTTCTGCTCCGAATAAATGATTGTGATATTACGGAACGAAGTGGCTTGTTGACATGCTGATTTAATCAGCTCACTGAATTTGTCAGTAAACTCCAAGCAGTATCAATGGCACAGTCGTCCGAAAGCTCAGATGGCATCTCCCACAATTTCTTCCAGTATGTCGTAGTGTGTGCTTGTTCGAAACAAGTTACTGTGTTCTTGTGGGTACTCCGCATAACACACGAAGTCGTAAATTATCATTACGTGGTCGCTCTGCCCCAGAGGTCACTCCATCCTTGATTTCTCGATCTTAAGCTCTTCGTTCGTGAGCGCTAAATCGAGCACAGATGGTTTATTTCCGGCTCTGAGTTGGGTAGGCGATCTGACATGGCTGAAGAGCGGAATGTAACAAACTCTCGCAGACCTCTCTTGAATTGCTCGTTGGGGGATGCCGGAACTTCGTGAATATTGTAGTCGCCGGAGATGGGAAGATGTCGGTAGCGTCCTCGTGTGACCCTTCCCAAGAATAATGTCAAGCGGGAGTATAACTCTGCGATGGACATTGGGGACGATAAACAACGACTAAAAGGCAAGTGTTGTTGCGTCTCAGTCGCAGACTGCACCAATGAGTCTATCATAAGCATTTCCGGATCGACCACCGGTTCGCACTGTAAGTTGTTGCGGTAGTACAACATTCCCCACCCCCACACCCTTGCTAGGGCGATCGTTTCGGAAAATGGTCATACCATGTATCGCGACCTCGGCGTCAATCACTTCTGAGTGCAACCAAGTTTCCGTGACGAATATGAGGTCCCAGGCGTGTGACGCTTGATGTCGCCGCAGTTCGGCAAACTTGTTCAGGAGATCTTGTGCATTGGTGTACATACAAGAAAGTTTCTCTGTTCTTAGCGATGAATCGTGGGATGCGTGTTTTGGGTAAAGTGTTGTGCCGACCGGTGACAGGTCGGCCACTAATCCTTTTTTGGGTCTGGCGATGACGAATTCATCTGTGTCAAATCCATGGATCCCGCCATTACCTCTTTGCTTCTCTCTTTGCAGGTACTGTATGCGTGTGTTTGCCAGTTTTGCTGGCTAGTTGATTGAGGTTATCCGAACTCTTGTCGGGAAGTGGTGCAACTAAGTGGTTGCTCTCGCGTGTTTGCTTAACAGACGCTGCTTTGATCCGGAGCTCGCAAGGAAGGCTGCTACGGTGCGCATACCAGCACCATTGCTGACATTTGTCTAGATTGAAGGACCACTTTCACAATCCTCGGGCCACATCCTTTGTACTTTGGCGATCGGCGCAGCCTGGAGATAGATTGCGCTATGACATTTTCCAGGGAGAGGGTCTCGTGCATGTATCGCCATTGTTCCTGATCGCAAGTGTTTGCTTCGCGCTCATCATGACTTCCAGCCTCGGGAACGCCGTGTACCAGGATAGTCCTTGCTACGGATTCCTCCCGATTTTCGTCCAAGGAGTGCTTCGCCTATCTGTACTCGCTCCACGAAATATCCTGGAATCGGCGAATGGAACAAGACCTATTCCGGAGACGAGCTGTCGATAACAGAGTACAGTGAGAAAGCACTGTAACTGTCACCCGAATAGATCGCAGTGAGCACAGATCTCGAGTTTTGCAGGCGGGTTTCCGATAAGCAGCAGATATCGATTATGTGGGTCTCTAATGTTCGCGCAAATGCTGCCTGTTGACCGGTTTGCAACTGTTTGTGTGCGTTGAGGCATGCCAATTTGAAGGAGGATCAATACCTCTAAATGGAATCCGATTTGTGGGACTTGTCCTCTTGGTTGAACATGGGCTTGTCGACAGGGCGGGAGTGACGCACCGCGTTTGTGTGAGTAGAAAACAGCAAGGTGAAGAAGAGTCAAGAAATAGTGGGTTGAAAGCAATGGGATACAAGTGAAGTTGGAACAGGACGACGGGGAAGAGGAAGACGAGAAGGCTTGAGCGATAGCATCCAAACTCTTATCCATCCTGCTCGATGCAGCAGATATGGCACTGTTGACTATTCGCGACTTTCTGAACTTCAGGTAATTATTTGTAGTGCACTGGTACAGTTGGGTGCGGAGCTTAAGGGACTTCTTGATTGGTGACTTCTGTTTCCCTAATTTGCAACTGAAACCGAATCGAAACTCAAGAGTATCTGTCATCATAGATGCAGGTTTGCTGCCACATGATGTACCACGACAACTCATTCTGAGGGGTAATTTTCCGTAGGTGCCCCTCTCTAGCATTAGGCTTTGTAAGATGACCCACAAGGCATCATCAATACCCCGAGGCCACGTAACTGGGGTGCACCACTGCGGTATGCTTCGAGGTTGCTGACGTTTACACTGGTTCGGGTAAGTGACACATGAATTACCGGTCAAACTGCTGAACAGCTCCGATATATTGCGCGTACGACTTACTAGCTAACGAGGAAAATCAACTCGAACCATTCGATTTGATGGTTTGGCCCAAAAAGCGCATAAGGTCTGGTTCACTATTCTATATAACTATTGCTTTCAGCGAAATATTTCTTCCTCTCGGGTGATAAGTTCAGAACAGTCTGTGATTGTACGATGTTAGTCATGGGCTGTTAGGCCTGAGAAGGGCGCTGGTATACCGTCAACTACTGCTTTTCCTCACCCCTCCATCGTTGACGACCTGTGGCACTCGTTAGCCGCAAGATTGGAGCTGAGGCTTCAAACCATTGATTTTCATGGAACGAGGCCATCGATCTCTCTTCTGTTTGTTATCGGAATGATACTATCACTTTTGCTTCTAACTTTTAACCACTGACTTGTCTGATCCGAGCAGGTCCGTTGGGTATTGCACACAGCACCGCAGCAGGTTACGGTCCAGATTCACTGCACAGCCTATGATTTTACTGTACCTCACTGTTTTCCCACCAGTTTTCTCATCTGTTTCTTCCGGTTCTCCTACCTGGTTCAGTCTGTGCTTGTTTTTGTAGTGACACGTTTTTCATCACCTTGGGGTTTTCCTTGAGATTGTCATACGTCTTCTTAACATAAGGACCACCGAATTTTACTCGTGATTGCGCTTTGTGACCTCGCACTCACAACGTATGACTGCTCCTTACTTCTTCTTATCAAAATCAATTTGCTGATCCAATTTCCTATTCGTTTGATAAAAATGCCGTGTAGCACGATTGTTTGAGTCCTGTCAAATTTACCCGGACACGTGTTTGGTTTGGCTCTGTGTCTGTGTAGCCACTTGCTTCGACAGGGTATACGAACGAGTAGCTTCATTGACACTCCCTCGCTTTTTGTTTTAATCTTGTCCCAACCTCATTTCTCTGTTTCGATCTCATGCCTAGTCTTCATTGTTCGACCCTCGGTCGTGTGTCTTTTGTCGTCTCATGCAATCCCACTGTTCACTAAACTTTTCTTTAAGAGGGTTCATGGTATAGCACTTCAGGCCTGTACCTTTCAACCTCTACGTCCTACTTCTTAGTCCATACTTCCAAACTGTGTATGGGTACCACGCCAGCGCGACAGCCCGCTTCTTACTCCATGTCAGCGAAGCACTATTACAGAGTACTTGTGGGCTTCCGATATCTTCTCTGAGACGTCGAACCCACTCGGTGTTCTCCCTAAAACATTACTCTATGTAATTCCTTGTAGATATGGCCCCTTATTACGGGATTGTCTGCAAAGAACTTGGATTACCACTGGACTCGCAATTACTTAACACGATGCAAGCAGTTAATGAGGCCGAACTCAACTCACTAGACGAAAAGATCAAAGATGCGGAAGCAAATCTCGGAGAAACTGAAGTTCGGGCTGCAATGACAGCTAAAGCTCATTATCTCAGCAAAATTGGCGACAAGGTGATCTAGATACTTTTAAGCTTATTTCTTTCAAGGATGCTGCTCTTGCGCAGTTTCGCCTTATACTCGATAAGGTTCTCATGCCCGGCTTCCGCTTGGATGCGATATTCCATATACTACGTATCGGTTTCTTCTTCAATGACAGAGAGTTGATCACCAGATATTTGGAAATCGCTAACAAGTAAGTCCACTGTGATTTTTTTCGGTTATTCGCTTTATCATAGCCTGATTGAAGAGGGCGGAGACTGGGATCGACGCAATCGTCTCAAGGTCTATCGCGGCTTATATAGCTTATCCGTCCGTGACTTTACCGAGGCTTCTAAACAATTTCTCGATGCTGTCGCGACTTTCACCAGTTACGAACTGATGGATTACAAGCGGTTCATTATTTACACAGTCATGACCGCTATGATTGCACTCAAACGGCCCGACCTCCGTGAAAAAGTAAGCATAGTGCCGCATCATTTTACTTGGTGGTATCTTTTACGAAGCTTTGCCGCAGTTAGACTCAGTCAGACAGCCGCCACACATTTATGAAAGCGCTAGACGGCCTTTCGTCCTATTGGGCCTCGTCAGTAGCCCGCACGCACCGAATCCTGCCGGATTCGAACCCACGACCTACCACGAGCGAGCGACTTGTGCCACTGAGCCGTGGGCGACGGCAACGGACTGTGATGACTGAACATGCACGTTCACAACCTGCATGACAGTGGGGGATGAGCCGCGCTATATCCCAGTTAGATATCAGTCATTTCGGTCCGCTGCCTGTCGCCCATGGCTCAGTGGCACAAGTCGCTCGCTCGCGAAAGTGAGGTCGTGGTTTCGAATCCGGTAGGAATCGGTGCGTACGCACTACTGATGAATCACAATGGAATGAAAGACCGTCTAGCGCTTTCCTAACTGTGTGGTGGCTGTCTACCTGAGTCTAATGCCGATGAATCCTCACAAAAATACCCAATAAATCCCCCTTCTACTTACAAACTTGATAGTACTCCTCAGCCGAACTTCAGACCAAATTATGTGGAGGTGTTGATGATTCGGTTTATTCAAACGCCTTAACTTCAAACGAAGTACTATAAGCTTTTAATTGACTATTTTAGAACACTGACGCCCATTACGTTTTTGACTTTAACTGAACCACAGACACCCGCTCGCGTTTACTTGTCGACGAAGTCCGGTGCCGAAACGAGTCGTGGCGTTTGCTAACAACTCACTTTGATAGACCTTAGTGGCTTTTTAACATTCTGACTTCAGTGCATGGTCCGATGTATTGGGATTGACGTCAACTTGCTTTGACAGTTTTCCCGCCTCTGCATTCCAGTGAATATGCACTTGGTGTTTTTCCGTAATGCCACCAGTCGGCTTCTACGTCGTTTGCCGACAGGTCAGAGACTAACGAGTTTACTATTCTAGTTTTCCGGGTTACGATTTTAACTTAGATGCCATTTTTGCCCAATAGAATCTAACGCTCTTCGTTTCTCGGGGTTTTATTCCTACTGCTTTGTCGAGCCTCCAACCCAAGTTTTCTAAAAGGAACTCTCGTTTGGATTCTCTTCCATTGATGGTATCTCATCCAACCCAGAGAAACACTGCGTTTTTCCGTTGTCACCTTCATATTGCATCTGATACCGAACCTTATACACTCTATACACTGCATCGCCATTGAGCGAAAATGGGTTTCAACTATTCCTCCATATTTCACTGCTTTTCTGTATGATTCCGCGATCCTTGTGCCTGCTCAAGCAGAATCTGCGAATCGCACTCTCGCTTTTCGCTGCTTAATACAACTTGTTTCCATTATAGATTGGCTGAACCTCGCGGTTCAATTTGTCTAGCCATGCTCATAGTGTCAATATTGCGATATATCAGGTAACAGTCCACGCTTGTGCTCACGGTGGAAGACTAGTACGGTATTTTCGAAAACCATGATCGTTCGGATGTTCATCGAGCTCGCTGGCCATCGCCGTCCACCAGCTGCTGTTGAACTGTCGTGTTACCGCTCAAGAATAATCGTCGAGTAACTTGAAACGTTCCTCTTGATTCCGGCGTCCAAGCATGGTTATGGTGTTTGAACCACGCTTGCGCTCATGTGTTTGCAGATTGCTTGATGATCTCAGTTTCTTCCTTGGTGGACGCCTATCTTGTTTTCTCCGTTACTTTGATCTCTTTATTACTCAACGGAGTGCTGCGAATTCTGGGCAGCGTTCTAGTCACTTGTGGCTTGCGGACGTGCACCGAATGTTATACCGTGTGTGCGTTTGAAGCTTGGAGTATTTGATTCTTCTCCTCTAACGTAATAATTAAATGGGCTACTAATCGCTAACCTAGGCTATGTCTGTACGCTGCTCCGGAACTTTTTTGTCTTATTTGATCCGGGAAGATTCTGACGATACAGATACTCTTGTCTGAATAGTGGATCTTCACTTCATGGAGTATTAAAGTACATCGTTTTGTTGTCATTACGAAGAGATTTCAAGAATCGCGCCGTTGCCTGTGGGGTTCTGGTTTTCGCTCGCCTGGTTGGATCTTGACCAACCACCTTGGGAGCGGTGTTTTAATCTGAGCCACGAGCACTGTATGTCCCGATGTAGTGGACCCAACAACTTTTGAGGGCTTTTGGGCATTTATTTACCTGGACTTAACTTGAATGCATTTAGGACTCATCGACCCCAACTATCTTATTCAGACGACGCAGCCACAATTCTTGTTTAGCCAGCCCAAAGATCATTCTACTTTACGCTGTTCATTTGGTTCACGAACTGAATTTCCTGCAAGCTTACAACGATGTTGTTAAAGCACTGATCACCTCTCGTTAACAACGATGTTCTGCCTAGAGAATTACTCCACGAATCTTGTGCACCAATCTGGTCAATAGCCAGAGTTCGTCGTCTCTGCTTTTGTGGTTTGCGAATAGACAAAATCGACAGCTCAGTGCATCATTATTTGAAGAGACTATACGCTTTGTACTTTGTCTCCGAGTAGTGCACTGTGTGGGCAACGTATATTGTTTAGTGATACAGCCACTGGAGTCGGACACTAATAATAATACTAATACTAACTTTTGTTCTTGATAATGTGAGACACGCCTAAATCGGCATGATCGGATGTGTGCCGTCAGGTCTTCAATTATCATACAGTCTATCACGACCGAAGCGATGTTATGCCACCGGGAAGTCCGTCTCACTAAAGAAAAACGTTTTAGGCCCAACAGGGTCGCTACGATTAGCCTGTAGCATGTGCTAGTTTGAGTTTACTCATCTCGTCAGGCTATTGAGTTCATCTCGATAATTCGATCCTTAGCCAGATTGCCATTTGTCCACTCCCGTTTAGATTCGGACTTTAGGATTAAAAGCTCGGAGTGGGAATCCTTAACTTTTCCTCCTGTATCACTTTTATTCTGCCCCACGGATCTAACAAGCCAATGTTTTTCCTTTTCATCTAAGGCTCTGAGCAGCATCCTACACGCTATACTTCTGCATTCCACAAAGTCTCATATGTATGCTGAATACTGAAGGTGAAGAACCGGAAGATATATATCTGTTACTCCATCGAGCACATACCCGGAAAATGTTATTGTACCCGTGCACTGTCAACGCAGTCGGAATCACAATCAAATGCGACGCGTTCTCGAAATCTGCAATCTCCAAAGTGGGCATCTACGGATTTCTTGAATTCTGACACCGATTTCGCATCAACTACTATATCAGGCAAACATTTCCGGCAAATATTTCATCACTCGACGCCCTTCAGGCTATCCGCTTTAGGTCCGGTACCACAAACTTGTACCGCTATCCGCTACTGCTGCTTCATGCACGCAAATCCGCAGCTTAGGGAGGTCACCCACATGTGTCATGAGGTCTACTCGAAGCCGACGATACGACGTGTATAGCCCTAGTCGTCTGCATCGGCCTTCGTACGACTTGCCCCGTATGTTATTTACTAGTACCGTAAACAGGATTGTAGAGTGTTAGTGCGCCTTCGAATTTCATTGAGCGTGTTTTTTGCCCTTATTGTTTCCGATCGTGCTAAACGAAAGGCCACCGGGGTTTCTTATAACATACATGCAAAAAACAGCCAGGTCGAACATTACATCTGCTCATTCTCCATTTGATTACCAGATTCATCGAAAACTTATGAAAACAAGTGTATGGTAATTCTTATCGGTTTTGCCTTCTTTATTTGACTGTTGCAAATTTTGGGCACCAGGTATAAATAACTAAACTTTTATTCTCGACATTACGAGACGCATATATCTGGTAAGTGCATATTTTAGAGAACGTTGATCACAGGTGGATTAGGAAACTCGCATCTCAGATCAGTTAATGACGATTAGCAGAACAACAACGGAGAAATAATAACTAGTTGAGTGAATTGAATTGATGTTGGCTGACTTTTAGCTCGTTCTCTCACGTATAAAACAGCTAAATCACAGCAGATAGTATGATGGTGAAACATGCACTGGGTCATCTGAAACCTTGACCCTGTTCCTACGCTTGGCTTGTTGTTATGGAACAATCAAACAGTTTGACCACATTCTGTACACACAAGAACGTGTTGATACTTTTTTGAAATTCGTGTTCACGAGTGTAGACACGTATTCATGGTGGTAGCTTGTTCCGGACGCTGGCGTACCTGTTGAGGAAAAAGTTGACAGACCTGCGGGTACCGGACTGAATTCTACTTGTTTCGTGTGTTGTGGACTGCTGGTTACATTAATGTCATGTTGAAAATAGAAATATGTACATTTCTGTGCAAGATGTTAAAGAATATAACTAGGCTATGCTTCATGCGTCGTAGCCAGAGCGGATCTAGCATGAGCTTCTCACATCGTTCAGAACAGTCCAGTTTCGAAGAAGCACCTAGGAGTGAATGCTCTCTGTACTTGTTCCAGTGCAATACGGTTGCACTTTTTTGAGCTGCTATACACAGTTGAACAATATTCCAACGTGGGTCGAACAATTGACTTGTAAAAATGAAGTGTTGATTAATGTAGGGAGAAAGTCCTGAATACCACTCCAATTTTCTGTCTTCCTCTCGCGGTGGCTTTTAGGCAACCTTTCCTTAATCCAACTGGTCTGAGGTTTTAACATTTCAGTAAACCACTTCTCAGAGCCAGATTATACCCCAACTGTGCATTTCACCATTTGTATAAGTCAGTAAAATGACTAATGCAAGACAGTTTTATTTCGTATTGTCCGATCACTTGCAAACTAACTAAGAATAAGGTTGAACCTTTTAGGCTTGGTAAGAGCAGAAAGCACACATATACAAAACAACAAGTCACAGCTGGGGCGAAGGTTCTGAATCTCAAAAAAGATTAAGGGTGACTGTTAGGTGTTTTGCACGCCGAGACTATGACGTCACCGATTAAGCGTCACGTCCCCGGCCAATTCCAGCATTCTGACGTTTGCGTTTCCATAAACAACCGTAAACTTGCAGTCAGA